AGCTGTGCGAAGGAGGAGTTATAGGCATGATGAGCTTTTGGCTCAGTTGTGAATGTAATTTATAGCCACAGTAATAAAAAAAGTAAGTAGTAATAATGAAAGACAGAGGAGAGGGGATGTCGCAGACCTAAACCGGTGTCTTTTACAGGAAGTCCATAGTTTCCTACATAGGAACTTAAAGAAGCATTTGTATAGATCCACTACATAGAATACAGAGAACCATGCCAGAAGAAATAGCTAGACTGACTTGAAGGTAGCTGCCTCAGTGGTTCAAAAACTGGGAGTGGCAAAAGGGCCTGCTGTTTTTTCTGTAAAACTTTGATTTTTTAACCATGTTCATGTCTGTTGGATAAAAAAGATTATTAAGAAGATGCTTCTCAAAGAATATTCAGAGTATGTATACTTTGGGCATTCTTTTTTTTTTTTATTAATTGGAGTCTCACTCTGTCATCACCCAGGCTGGAGTGCAGTGGCACACTCAACGGCCACTGCATCCTCGACCTGCTGAGCTCAGGCAGTCCTTCCACCTCAGCCTCCAAGTTACTGGAACTACAGGTGTGCACCACCACACCCAGCTAATTTTTTTTACTTATTGTAGAGACGAGGAGTTGCCAAGTTGCTTAGGCAGGTCTCGAGCCCCTGGATTCAGGCAGTCCTCTTGTCTCTGCCTCCCAAAGTGCTGGGATTACAGGCATGAGCCATCGTGCCTGCCTCACTTTGGACATTCTAAATCCCTGAAGGTTCTGAGAAGTCTGTCATTTGAGGATGTAGGTTCAGCAGAATGCTATGAAATTACCGAGGAGTAATGATTGCTAATAGTAATGTGGTTGATGTTATCCTTAGTTGTAAATATTCATTTTGTTGTAGTGCTAACAAATGGAGATTTTAAATGCATGGCAGATTAAAATGTATTTCATTTCAGCATCTCAGATGTACATAAGTATTTAGCGTTCCTTGGTGTTGTCAGCAATTTTCATTGTGAACTGCAGCTTTCCTGCTGAGTGATGGTTCAGTGCTCCCCGCCCCCTCTTTCATTTCATTTTTGAAAATATTATATGCTTATTACAGTCCTTAAGAGTTGCAACAGCTGCTTCAATAATAGCAATAGATACCATTGGATCTTTCATTGTACTTGATTATAAGGTGCAATGGTTGACTTGTATCTACACACCTTCTTATCTTTTTGTTTTTTTGAGTTGAAGTCTCACTCTGTCGCCCAGACTGGAGTGCAGTGGCCACTTCCGGCCACCGCAGCCTTGCCTGCTGGGTGATCCTTCCGCCTCAGCCTTCCAAGTACCTGGAACTACAGGTGTGTGCTACCACGCCCGGCTAATTTTTTTTTTATTTATTGTAGAGATGAGGTCTCACCAAGTTGCCCAGGCAGGTCTCAAACCCGCGGGCTCAGGCAATCCACTCACTTTAGCCTTCCAAAGGCGCGGGATTACAGGCTGAGCCACCAAGCCCGGCTTTTTTTTTTTTTTGATGGACTCCGGTGATCCTTCCACCTCAGCCTTCCAAATAGCTGGAACTACAGGTGCAGCTACCACGCCCGGCTAATTTTTGATTTATTGTAGAGATGAGGTCACGTCAAGTTACCCAGGCGGGTCTCAAACCCGTGGGCTCAGGCAGTCTACTCACCTCGGCCTCCCAAAGTGCTGAGATTACAGGCTGAGCCACCAAGCCTGGCCAACCACCAACTTTTTAAAAGCCAAAAATGTTGAAACTTGAATTGGATATTGAATGTTAGATAAATTAATCTTCTAACAGTTTTTTTCCCTCTAAAAGGCAGTATATAATAGTGTGAAAGACTATGTTTGGAGAACTAGTTGTGTTACATTCAGCAAGTTTCTTAACCTTAATAAGTGTTATTTCCTTATCTGAAAAATGAGGTCAATATCTTCCTCTTAATTATCACAATTAATGATGAATCCTGTACAAAAAAACCCCAGAAACATTCAGCTTCAGGAAGCTGAGGTGGGAAGATCTCTTGAATCCAGGCATTTGAGACCAGCTGGGCAACATAGTGAGAACTCTTAAAAAAGCTAACAAAAACAAAAATTAAGTTAAAAACCTTGGCTTGCTAATAGCAGCTGCCATTTGAGTACCTACTATGTACCTAGTATTGTTCTTGCTACTGTTATTGGCTTGTTTCAGAAATAGTAAAAAATATAATTGATAGCTGTCAAGTTTATTGGTGTGCCATTAACTTTTTCTTTGGACTGACAAGCAAGAGATTTTATTTTATGTGACATGTCAATGTTTTTCCACAAAAAGAACAATAAAACATCTATGCTGCATTTAAACCCTTGTACCTATAAAGTAAGGACAAAAACTGTCATTGGTGAAGAGTTTATGGCAGTCCCTAAATTTCAGTTGTTTTTGATTTAGGAAAATGGAGTTGAATTGAAAGACAGTTCTCTCCAAAATGAATATTCTTTTTTTCTGTAAAATAAAGTACATTTGACTAATGCCAGTTTATATTTATTTCTACTTCTAATCCTTGAAGTTTTGTGTTATTTCTCTCTTTTTTTTTTTTGAGTCCGAGTCTCACTCCATTGCCCAGGCTAGAGAGCAGTGGCACACTCATGGCCACCCAGTGTCAACCTGCTGGGCTTAGGCAATACTTCTGCCTCAGCCTTTCAAGTAGCTGGAACTACAGGCGCGTGCTACCATGACTGGCTAATTTTTTGGTTTATTATAGAGATGAGGTCTCACCAAGCTGCCTAAGCTGGTCTCGAACCAATGGGCTCAGGCAGTCTTCTCACCTCAGCCTCCCAAAGTGCTAGGATTACAGGCTTTGAGCCACCATGCCCGGCCATATTATTTCTTCTTTTTTTTGAATTGGAGTCTCACTCTGTCACCCAGACTGGAATGCAGTGGCTGCTCCCAGCCACTGCAGCCTCGATCTGCTGGGCTCCGGTGATCCTTCCGCCTCAGCCTTCCAAGTAGCTGGAAT